TGTAATGTAAACCAAAAATACCGTATTATCTCTTATATTAAGGGAAATATAGTTATAATTTTTAGTCATTGCTACAACTTATGCCATATTATAATAATACTATAAGTGAATAGATTATAAATAAATTTAAACAAATATTTTAACTTTTTTAAATCCAGTATTTTAGACTTCCTATGTTCCCACTCATGAATACTGTTACCGGTAACTGACTAACAAATCATGAGATTTTTATTTGTAATAAATACCATATTTTAATCAATAAAATGTCTATTTGACTCAAAATACTAGTCTATTCTTAAATACTATTTCATTAAAAATACCGGTAGTACCGTAACTTATAAAAACAGTACAGGTAATAAAAAATGTTTTACTGTATTTGCGAGGGCACTTGTAACTTGTGCGCACCGGTAGGGAAAGTCGTCTTATTTTTCTAATGAATAACAAAAAACTAAATCAATAGATAATTACTTAAAAGTGTATCGATTTTAACATTAAAACCACATACGGTATGATAAGTACTATTAATAGCAATAAAAACAATATTTAGATTTCTTTGAGAAAACATTTAATACATTTCACATCATAAGTAAAAACAATATTTTAATTTGTATTTCCAATTCAAATCACAAGAATATTCTCTACAATTACAAGAATAATATCAAGTATTATATAATAATTACTATAATTAAAAGTATTAATACATATAATAGTATTAAATAAACAGAAAATACACAATAAATTGCATACAAAATCAAAACCTAAGTTATTATAAACTCATTGTTAATATAAATAAGTATTTATTTAACAAATCAATTAATAGTTTAAAATTCGTTTCCGTGTCTACTATAGCACGACATACCGTATATATATACTAGACTATAGGTGTCTGTCCACCAATTAATAAGTTGAAATGGGAGGGGAACGGGAGGTCTTTGGCGGGTCGGGAGGACAAGTAGCTTACAGCTGAGCCTTGACGTCTTTTTCCAAGTCCTTGGGCTCAGTGGTCGGGCCGAACCGTTTGATGGGAACGCCGTTTTTGTCGATCAAAAACTTCGTGAAATTCCATTTAATGGCGTCGAAGCCAAGTAGGCCTCCCTTCTGGTTCTTCAGCCATTGGTATAGAGGGTGGGCGCTGTTACCTACACGTAAATGTATGGTAAATGTTAGTACCGTATGGATTCACAGGTAGTCTATAATCAGGGTATTACCGGTATCTGAGTCTTGATATGTGTTTATAGTACCGATAATGAGATAATTATTTTTAATTCATGTTTTATTCATTGTTACAATTAATAGACTATAGACTACTGGCTATTAGTTTACTATATGTTATTAAAGCGTTATAAAGCTTGACTATAAATACTGTAATTACAGTAAAAGTATTTTTAAATAAAACTTAACTGTTTGAACTCAATAACTGTTTAAAAATTAATTAACATCCCTGTCCACTATGAGGTAAGGGAACGGTATTCATTTTCTCAAATACTGTATAGAAATAATTAAATACAAAATAAACTAAATTAAAAACATGCAATACTTTAATAAGAACGCGATCTATGCAACAGATCCCTGTCCACTCACTGACTACAGTAGGGGAACGGTATGTCAGACTAACTAACTAAATGTTATACTAACCGTTGACATCGATTTTGGACATCATATCAAACTTGACGTCATTTTTCTTAGCGAACTCTTTGATGTCGATATCACATCCCGGTTCCTGACCGTTGAACTGGTTCGAGGGGAACGCCAGTATGCGTAGGCCCTGCCCCTCGTACTTGCCGTACATCTCGTTCAGCTGTTTGTAGTTGTTTTTGGTTAGACCGCAATTGGACGCCACGTTCACCACCAGCACCGGGTGGTCCTTGTATTTGTCCAGTGATACCTGTGCTCATCAAAGGGAACGGCATACAAACGGTTAGTATTTATTAAGTAGTTGTTTTTGGTTAGACCGCAATTGGACGCCACGTTCACCACCAGCACCGGGTGGTCCTTGTATTTGTCCAGTGATACCTGTGCTCATCAAAGGGAACGGCATACAAACGGTTAGTATTTATTAAATATTTTTATGCGAATGGTCTGAGGGGTCGGGTATTTATACAAATACCGTAGTATGAACCACATTTCCATAGTATAGGTGCAGTCATTAGGTCAATAAGGGGGGACAGGTATCTTAAAATAGTTACATTGAAACAGCTATTACCCAGACTACCAGTGCTTTTACTAAAAATTATTTTGTAAGGGGAAAGACATGCAAATAAACAATATTAATATTAATATCACGAGTGGAAAGGTATGAAAAACTTGCATAACATAAATGAGTCGACAGTTAGTCAATACGGGGGAGCTTTATATGGCATAAAAGGGGGTGTTTTCACGGGGGGTTCAAAAACACAACAACTTTTCTATAGCTTATGGCAACTGACACTCAAATACAGCACTAATTACGGGACTTATAGTATAAACACTGGTTACTAGGGCTGACCCCCATAAACACCCGGGTATTATGTGAGACACTATACACACCTCATTGCCGTCGATGTCTTTGGCGGTGAACTCGTACAGAGTTTTGGCTGTTTTCGGATCATTTGTAGCCATAGTTCGCGACTTCAGACCAATTAATAGCAAGTTTTGCGGAGTTTTATCAATGAATGGCTTATTATGGGAGACAATGAGTGGTCGTATAGTTTGCACCGATTTATAGCGTATAGCGTTGAGCGCCGTGTTTACGGTTAGTATGCGTTTCACTGTTAAGTGTACGGACTTTATATACATGTATATACCCGGGGTATACACTGTGTGTGGCGTATATATAGCGAACAAATAGTAAAACTGAATTAAAATGTGAAATCAATATTAAGTTTGTTTTTCAAGTGATTCATGCGTTTCAGAGTCCAGTCTGTGGAAAGTATCCACTGTTTTGACATTTATGATATTTACTAGTTATTAAGTGTCAAGACTTTTGGGTCCTTTTATTATGAAACTTTTATATGTGAATCTATGAGGTGTAATGTATTGAATGATACCAAAGCATCGGTTTAACAGTTATGCGGTTTAATGGCGCAATGTTTACCGCCTTTTGCACTTGAAATGCACTGTAACTTGTTTTGTCTGTAAAAGTGATAAGGGATATAGATTACGTCATTGTATTTCAACAGTCAATGCAATGAATGCACACATAAAACGGTGTAAGAGTTAAAATTTTTTACATATAATAATGAATTTAAAATGCTTATTAAAACAGATGTTAATCGCTATATGAGTACTGACTAATAGATTGTGTGTTTCTATCAATCAAACTTAAATTATGATTAAATTTTAGGTGTAATTGATTAACACGTATACTTATGCCGCGGTTTAGGGNAACTACTAGACCTAATGTTTTAAAAATTCATATTTAAACTAATGTACCGATAATATAAAAAGTTAGTACCGTAATACAGTTAGTTAATCAAATATCCTGGTTATAGTTCACTATAAAATTGATTAACTTCAAGGGGTCAAAGGTTAACCTTTTATTGCATAATAGTTACAAAGTGTACGCAAATGACTGCCAAATACAGTGTTAATTAACAGACAACTAATTTAACATCAGGTACTATGGGATGACAGGGGGTTCATAATAATGGTTATTTTTTAGGCACAATACATAATAAAAACTTTTTAATAGTTTATCGTAACTGACACTCAAATACAGCACTAATTACGAGACTTAAAATCTAATCACTAGTTACTAGGGCTAACCCGTGGGGTGTTCGCTATCACATAAATACCCTGATGTTTGGCACACAATACACACCTCATTGCCGTCGATGTCCTTAACGGCAAACTCGTACAGAGTTTTAGCGCTTTTCCAGTCGCTATCGGCGGCTATACTGACGGCTATACCGCACACCAAAAGAGCCGCAAAAATTTGCATCAATTTGTGACTCATTTTCAACTCAATGAGTAAACCTTTGGCACAAACGTATGGTTAGTTAATTGTTGTTCAAAAACAGACAATATTATCAGCATGCTATAAAACACGTTTACAATTTAGTAGTTTATTTAACGTGAAATTTAACTGGACCTCATGTTGCAGATTTTGCTCAAATAAAAACCGATGATAAACAATTTTTAATTTTTACAGACTGTAATACCGCTACATAACCGACGTTTGTGCCCATTATATACACCATTATATATTGCATACCACAATAAACCAATATATAATAGTCCCTAAACCGCGGCATAAGTATACGTGTTAATCAATTACACCTAAAATTTAATCATAATTTAAGTTTGATTGACAGAAACACATAATCTATTAGTCAGTACTCATATAGCGATTAACATCTGTTTTAATAAGCATTTTAAATTCATTATTATATGTAAAAAATTTTAACTCTTACACCGTTTTATGTGTGCATTCATTGCATTGACTGTTGAAATACAATGACGTAATCTATA